GACGCCCCGACGCCCCGACGCCCCGCGCACGCTCTGGCGCACGTCGTTGGCAGGCGCCACATGCGCCCCGCGTCCGCATTCGCCTCTACCCCTTTCCCCAAACACGCGCGTGTCTGTGAGCCCCTGTTCCAAACGCTAGGCCAGAAAGTCCCCCAAGTCCCTATGCTCAGGGGACCTACCTATTAGTGAGGGCGACACAGAGCAGAGGAGTCAGATCAATCAGGTTGGGTATGACAGATTCTGTGGTGGGTGCTAAGAAGCAGCAGAGCACACAGAGCGCACAGTTTTGTGTGTGTGATTTTTTTATTGATTTCGGAGAGAAGGAGAGGGGGAGAGAAACATCAATGATGAGAGACACTGATCGGCAGCCTCCTGCGCGCCCCCTACCGGGGACGGGGATCTAGCTGCGACCTGGCCATGTGCCCTGATCAGAATGGAACTGCAACTTTCTGGTGCGCAGGAGGACGCTTAACCAACTGAGCCACACCGGCCAGGGCTGCTTCTCTGTCTTTAATATTTTTAAATGAATAACATTTTAAAAAAACAACAAAAACCCTGAGTATATAGAACACAAAATATAGAACTTGTTATTTTTAAATGTCCTTTGCATTTGCCTCATCCTCTGGAAGAAACAAAACAACCTTACAGAGTTATTGCCCCAAAATCCAATGAGGTAGGCTGGGGAAGGTCAAGTCAGGTGCCAAAGATGACAGAGCCTGTAAGGGCAGAGCTGGACTTAGAGCAGACAGATCCACATCTAAGTGCAAAGCCAGCGCTGCTTTAACAGCCTAGCCTCTCTTCCCACCCCTGAAGTTGTGTGTTTTCCTACTGTAGAGTGGTTTCCTTCAGAACAGAAATCATGTCTGATCCATCTTTGTATCCCTCAGCAGCACCCTCCATTGCCACTCAACACATGAAGAAACTTGGGGTAAGAGTATGGCATTTAGAATTCTAGTAGTAAAACCTGGGTGTATGTGAGCCACGAATCCCATGTACCATGCATGTTTTCCCTATGGCTACAATCTGGACATAGTGGGGGTTTGCTGCCTAGAATTTCTGGACATGGTGCCTCAGCATTCTACAGTTTCCCTCTCCCAGAGGCCCATTCTAGTGCTGCCTCCCTGCCCAGGTGCCTTTCTCCCACCACCCTTCTCTTCCTTCCCAGGGGCAGTGCCAAAGGGCATCACAGGTGGTAAGCATTTGGGGATCTTTGGAGAAGGGCAGGGCTGCTGAACCACTGAGCATTAGAGCTGGAAGAGTGATGCAGTCTGTTCCTTGGCTCTACCCTATCTGGACCCTGGCCCTGGCCCTGGGCAACAGCGGCCTCAGATCAAGGGGGAGGTTGTCCCCTAATTGTTACACTCTGCGATGATTATGAAGTCAGCTCATTGCACCCCCATCGCAGCCAAACTAAGGGTGGGTCCGCTGCCCCCAGTTTCTCTCTACTTCCTGTCAGCTCGGTTGTCCTGCATGGTGACGGCTGTGGTACCAAACTAACTAGATGGCATCAGAGGAGTTCTGTAAAGTAGGAGATGGGGAGGAGGCCATGACGAAAAAGGAAGCTCTGAACATTTTGAGTCAGATGTCGAAGCCCTTTCCAAACCCCAAGTCTATGAACAGGACAGTTGCTACCAAAGGACTCCCTTTTTCCTCAAGGGGCAATTTGATTAACTTCATGGAGAAAGAAAGCATCAATCTACCGTAAGATACAAGCCTGGTCCTTTCCTCCTTTCTAAGACTGGAGCTGGGGGGTGGGGAGGGGCTCGAAGAAGAGGTACTTCCTGGACCTGTCACCACCTGGGCCCAGGGAAGAGCATGTGTGCAGGTTGTACCATAGATTCCTGAGCCCAAATCAGTTCTTGGACATATGTAGGCCTCCTCCTCCAGGAGGCCTTCCAGGATTGGTCAGATTTGTTGACAGTGCTCCTATCCCCTTAATCTACTCAGGGTACTCACCCCCTTCCCTAGACACGCCTGCCCTTTCCACTTCTCCATGGCTCCTCTCTCTTAGTCCCCCCTTTTGGTGCCTTCCCCTTCCTGATTATGCC